TTGTTCTTAACCTGAGCTTTCCAAGGGAGCCTGTAAACATGGTTCACTATCATAATTTCAGTTATAATAATACATGAGCTCAAAGGAAAGGCTCTCAGCTGCAGCTTTTTTATATTTAAAATCTTTCTGGCTGAGCAGTTTCAACTTACTATTGATCCAGATGACGCATTTGATTCCTATAATTGAGATTGGAATTAAAAAAAAAAAAAAAAAAAAAAAAAAAAAAAAAAAAAAAAAAGCAAAAAAAAAGCGTCTTTCTATTTCTTCCAGAATGTTTGTTTCTCACATTTGACAGCTCTGTGTGTGCATTGCTCAGGCTTTTTTCCGTGATTAAAGCGAAGGAATTTTTCAAGAGTGGAAAGCTGTAGCTGCCTCAGCCCAAAAGTCGAGGAGGAGGCTCAGATGTGGGGATGGTAGGGGTAAAAAGCCTGGGTGTTTTCCCCAGCCATTGCCTTTTAAATGCTGAGTGGTGCTAAAGTTATTTTCTGAGGGATCACAGAATCCCAAAGAGGTTTGGGTTGGAAGGGAAGTTAAAGATCACCCAGTTCCTGCCACGAGCAGGGACACCTTCCACCAGCCCAGGTTGCTCCAACCTGGCCTTGGGCACTTCCAGGGATGGGGCAGCCACAGCTTCTCTGGGCAAACCTGTGCCAGGGCCTCCCCACCCTCACAACAAAGAATCTATTTCTAATATTTAATCTCAACCTACTCTCTTTCAGTTTGAAGTCCTTCCCCCCTTGTCCTGTCAACTGGGAATTTGGAAAGGATAAAATACAAACAAGGCTGAGGCCAGCTCAGGTTTCCTGCTGCTGCAGGCTCAGGGATCTTCCCCTTTCCCCTCCTGCTTTCCCCTGATCCAAGAGAATTTACAGCAGCTGAACTCCATGGAAATTCTTCACTTTCACATGGGATGACCAGGAGGCCCAGACTCAGAAAGAGCAAGCCTGAAACCCTCCTCCCTGGGCAGCCAAGTGTGCTGGCAGTGACTCAGTTTAGATCTTTCTGTAGGTAGTGTACTGATGGGGGATACACTGTGTATACACTTGTTTGTTTGCAAAAAAAGGTAAAAAAAAAAAAAATCTATTAAAATCCTGCACCTCTGGGACTGCCTTTGAAAGGCATGTGATGTGACTCTAGGAGAGAAGTGATCAGCCTGCAATAATTTAGATGTTCCTGTTGCTATGGATACTTTCTTTAAGTGAAGCATACCATTATAATTTAAATTTCCAGTAACAAAGAGGGGGGAAAAAAAAAAAAAGAAAAAAAAGAAGAGAGCATATTAAAAGTAATAAAAAATGCCAGAGACATAACTGTTTTATTCTTTGCTGTCAGTTTTACTCGTGCTGTGACAGCGTATAGAAGTGATAAAATTGCCGTGTCTGAGCAGATTTAGTGCTTTTACACATTTTATTACATTAATTAGACCTGAGGTTCATCCGTACGAGTGTGTGATAGAGGCAATAGCCAAGTGACAGGCCGGGTGCTGGGATGTGACACTAAAAGCAGGGGAAGCAGGAGGGTTGTAGCTGAAACAAGAGCTGACAAGCAGCAAGTTTGAGCTGGGGATTGTTCCAGCCAGATCAGCGGAGGGGAGATGGAAACACAAAGGTACAAGCCAAATAACTCCCTGCAAAGTATCATCATCGAGGCTTTCAAGCCAAAACTTCGCCTGGAGTGGTGTTGCCATCCGTGGGATTGTGAGAGCCGAGGCAGAAACTGCTGCTGTGGTTTGCAGGGAACGGCGGGAAAACTCCTGCGTGGAGGTTGGAGTTGTTTTGCTGGGCGAGAGGTTGCTGATGGTGATGGCTGGAAAAGGTGAAAAAAGGTGAAAAAAAACCCAAACCCAAACCCAAACCCAAAACCTTGGAGGCAGAGAGTGAGGGATCTGGAGTGGAATCTGGCTGGTTTGAAAGGAGGGGAATTAAAGTCCCCGTGGGGCTGGAAAGACGATGGCTTGGTGATTCCAAAATAGAAACCGTGATGGCAAAAGTTTGGGGTAGACAAGGTGCCTGGGGAATAAACTGGTACCCAAACACTGTTTTTCCTCACGTCACAGCTCAAAAGAAGAGCAGGCAGCAGAATCACTGCTTGGCCTGACGTGGGTGGCTGTTTTGTTCCAGTTGCGACCAGCAATGTTGTTCCCACCCTGTTCCCTCGGCCAGGACAGGAGCCTTGGCCTGAGCCTGTGGGCTTTCGAGCCAAGCTTTTAAAAATCTGCATTTTTCCCTCCTCGCTTCTCTTTTCCCAGCCCCGAGCAGCAGCCGGGCGAGCGATAAATCACAGGAGTCACGCGGGGATTTCAGAGCCAAACCCTGACGGGGTTGATGTTCCCAACCTGCCTCTCCCGATCCTTCCCTTCGCAGGGAGAGGAGTGTGGCGGCCCTGATGACGTGGGAGCAATGACGTGGGTGAGAATCACCCACCTGGCTCCTGGAGGGAAAAGTGGAAGAGAAGGGCCGGGAGGTGACACGGTCCCTGCCCGTGGGCACAGCCGGCACCGCTTTGGGAGTGCTCCCACTCACGCTGGGTTTGCTGGTGACTCCTGGCTGCCAAAGACCCCGCCACGGGGAGCGAGGAGCGAGCTCTCACTTGCAGAGACACGTCTGTGCTCACAGCCCAGGCCGACAGGAGAGGCTGGGAGCTGCCAAAGGTGAGCGGTGCCAGCCGGGTGCTGGGCGGGAGGGAGAGCTCCAGGCTCCGGTGCCCTGCTCAGACACGCTGGCCACGGGCCAGCAGCGCTGCCGGCGGCGCGTGGCCCCGATAGCAGAGCTCCTAATCCGCTTTCCAGGCAGGGCTGAGGGTCCCTCTGGCTCTGCTGGCCAAGAGCCGCCGCCCTGGGAGCTGCTCCAGAGCCAGGAGTGAGAAGGAGTCGCTCCCAGTGAAGACCAGAGCCCAGCAGGGACAGGACCAAGCGTGTGGCCAGCGTCAGAGGCCGGTGGCGCTTAATTAACCAGCCACTCGGTCACTAATTACCTTCTACCTGCGCATTTCCCAGTCTTCCTGCGCTTGCTGCATCTGCTTTCTTGGCTCCAGCTCTTTGGCCCCATTTCCACTCCCACCTCAGAAGACTTCCTCTTCCTGCAGCTTTTAATGACTTGACATCCCTCCTTTTTGTAAAGCCAATGTTCCTCCTCGGAGCCAAGAACCAGCTGGAGATGTCTGCTTTTAGCAGGGAAGAAAAATAACAACCAACTCCCAGCAATCCCCAGAGCTCTTTCCCATTGTCCTTCCCCTGAGCATCGGAGGAGAGGTGCTAAATAAATGAAGTAATGCAATATTAAGACTCCCTCTGTCATAAGCAGAATCCACTCACTCCTGATAAATTGCTCGCAGTCAGATGCCGGCTTGCTGCTAAAAGAGCCCCTGAGCTGAGGGCCCCATTCTGCTCCAGGTTATTCCATCAGCCTCTGCTGCTGCTGTTGTGGGATTCCAGGGTTCCCTCTGTGCCTCTGGGTCCTCCCAAGCCCATATTGCATCTTGCTTGGCTCCAGTTGTTCGACAGAACGTGGGCATCACTGACAAGTTACCCCTGACCTGATGAACTGACGCCCTGGCTTTCAGGGAATCACAGAATCACAGAATATCCTGAGCTGGCCGTGACCTGGGGAGCCTGGGATGGGTGGGACAGGATTTAGGGGCATAAAAGTTAAGGAAGGGGGCGTAAAAAAGTTAATTTTTGACCAGTTCACAGATTTTTGGCGCCGAAATGATGGCTTTTCTCAGAGGGAGATGCTTTCACCTGCAGAAACCCCCCTCATTCATGCAGACTGAGGATGGCTGTGCTGTGGGGTCACCCCTGCAAACCTGGGGAGAAGTTCAAAAGCAGAGGCAGAGACACACAAAATACCCCCCAGCACCGCGTGCTGACCCGTGGGGAGCTCCTCCTGAGCCAGCCCTGCCCTGGGCTGTTGGCAAACACTGCCTGTGTTTTCTGGTTCAGCTCCTCTTGGCTCGCCCAGGACAAATCTCATCTTCACAGGCAGCCACCACGCAAGGCTGAGGCGTCAGAGGGGGGAGAGCAGCGCTCAACCAACCCCCTCCCCTTCCCACCCCATCCCTCCCTCCACCCCCAGCCAAAAGGCACTTGTGCTTCTCCACGAGGACTATTATCTCCTGCTTCACAGCACAGGAAGCCTGGCAGGGCAGCCCAGGGCTGGCCATAACTCAGCATTCAGGTGTTCAGATGGATGAAACGTGGCTCTGTTTGTGCGTGGAAGAGAGAACAATTTTGGGGGAACCAAAAACAGCTCCGCAGCTTTTGCTCAAGCTTGGGCAGGGAGCTACAAACACGGTGCTGTGAGGAGAGGAGAGAGGTTCAGGGCTCTGTACCTGTCACACTGCACAGCCTCGTGCCCAGCAGCTCAGCACTCCCCTGAAGCAGCTGGTTTGTAACCTTCGAGCTGGGCTTGGCCTCGACTCACAGAACAGCAGCCATCACTCAAGGTGAAAACAGCAGCACTCCACAAACGGAACATCTCTACCCTTAAACCCACCCTGCAGCTTGGCAGCAACAAGCCGGGTCCGCTGTTGTGCTTTTGGGGATGCTCTGGAGGAGTTTAACGAGTTACAGCACCGGCACTTAAAACAGGGAGGGCCCTGAAGCAGCACACGGGCTCTGAAGCAGCACACGGCTCCTGCGAGCTGCAGGTTCTGCTCCTCTAGAGGTGCTTTGAGAGGGAGGTTGAAGACGGGCTCTCCATCAGCTCCCTCGCCCACGCCGGCTACCGGCTGTGGGATGGATGGAGCTGTTCCATCCCCTACACACCCTCCCCGTGCCAGCGCAGGGTGACAGACCAGCATTTCACAGCACAGCCCACGCCCAACACCTCTGCTGCTGCTGCTGCTGCTGCTCCGAGGGAGGGAACGGGCAGCAGAATCCCTGCCATGTCCCCCCCGTGGAAAAACACGGGGCTGAGGGGAGAGGAACCACCAGCTCCCCCAGCTGCCCTGAGCCCACCTTTCGTGCCCCTCACCACAGAGAGTCCCCCCTGCCCCTCTCGCAGCCATCAGAGGGGAAGGAAATGGATGCTGAAAAGTTCCTTAACCGGCAGTTAAAAAAAGGTCACACCCGAACCGAAAGATCAATTTGTTCCTCAGCATCGCCATCAGCTATGCATGAAGGCGCAGGCTGCCAGTACTCAGCACTCATAATCTGGGACAGCTCACCCTGGAACAGGCAATTTCAACTGAAAAATGAACTTTCAGTCTTTTTTTTTTTCTTGTTAGCACTGTGGGATGAGAGGCATCTCTTGCAAAGCCCCCCTGCTCCAAGACCCCAAAGGGAGTGGGTGGCACAGGCAGGTTAAACCTGTCAGCACCCCAGATGGGGCTCTCCATGCGCTTCCCAGACAAGGTTGGCAGCGAGGTGGGCTGGGAAGTGAAGGAACCCAGGAAAGGCAGGAATTGCAAAGGGATGCTGAGCACACGGGGCCGTGCTGGGCTCTCCAGGGCTGTTTTTATTTAAGAGGCAGCTGTACAAATTCAGCTCCCCTCACCAACAGGGAGAAGCACTTTGTGACTCCAGAAATTCTATAAATTAAAGAGGTTTTGGGGTTTGACTCTACTGGCACCACGTTTTTCTGCAGATGAGCCTGAAGCACCGACCTCCATCTCCTCACTCATCATCATCCCCTTACCTGAAGGCCAGTGCAGGGACAGACTGTACACCCCTCTGTGCATCCCATGGGGCCACATCCAGTCCTGTAAGCATTTCTTGGAAGCAGCACCATGGACTAATGTCTGACTGCAATCCTCTTCCCACCTGGATGGCACTGGAATCAGCTGTCCAGTGGACACAACCTCCCAAGGATGTTCCCAATCACTTCCTGCTGTGCATCAAGGGACAGGCAGAACTCAACCAGAAATACAAAGACTTCTACACATTAAAAGGACCCCTGCAAAAATAAAGTCACCCAGCAGAGACGCTCCAAAAAAATGGTAGAACTTTTATTCCTCTCAGTACAGATTTTCTTTACAGCATCGGGTTTTCTTAAAAAAACTATATACACGCATATATAGTGTTGTGCACTTCGGCATCTGCTCCTGGAGTCTCTAGAAAAAGGAGAAAGATCGACGTACAAAGTAACCCTCACAGTCCATCCTACAGCCCGGGCTGTTTTCTGGGAAGATCAGAACTCCTTGAGTCGGGACAAGGCACTGGCTACAAACCCCTGCTCGTGCAGGAGGCTCATGTCTCTCCCCTGTGCCTCTGCAGCAGGGACAAGCTTTGATAGTTCCCTCAATCACAAGAGGCTGGTGCTGCACACAGGATCAAGGAAGTCATGGGCACAGCCGTCTGAAGATGTAAAAGCGCTTTAAAGCCCACTCTGCAGGGTACACAGAGCACGGGTTTTATTGAGAGACACGATGAGTCAGCTCCACGAGTCCTCGACACCTTCTCACACTGACACTTAGGGGGGAATAAAAAAAAAAAAAAAATCTCAAATCTAAGTCAGAGTCACTCAGCTGCTTCCTAATGAATTCATCCAGCTGACAGAGAGGGTTTTTTTTTTTCTTTCCTGCGAGTAGTTTTAAGAGAGTTATAAAGAGCTATCTGGGGAATGAATTAGTGCTTCAAACCCAAGTTACAAATCTATAAAACAGATTAGTATACTTCACATAAGGCCACAAACACTGCAAACTGTCAGTGTGACTATTTAGGATCATTAAACTTAATCTTTTAATTAGCATAAGCTTTATACCTCCATTACTTATTTTCAGTTCCAGGAGCAGATGAAGCAGCTTCCTGAGCCTCCTGGGAGCTGTGGCTGTCAGGGAGCAAGGGGATCCAAGTACCTGGAAGGGGCACCTCTTGCTAACTGAACATCCAGGTATTGGTCTTGCCTAATCCAATTCCACTGGAGTCGATCGAGTGAGCAACAACCAAACGGTTTTGAGGCAGTGAGAAGTCATGGACAGGCAAATCCACTCAGCCAGGGTGAGAACACAGATCTATCCTGCTGCTGGTCCACCCAAGCTGCCACTTCCACCACGCTTCAGCAGAACAAATCATTCCTCCTTGGCGGTTTTGCTTTCAAAGCCAACAGCGCAACGGAGCTTTAGGATCTTCGAGTCGCATCAGAGACGGTGGACGTGAGGAATCAGCTTTGAAACAGAGCTGCAGCATTGCCAGGTTGGGTTATTTTTGGGTAAATAGCTTCTGAAGAGAAAATACAGGCACTGCTTAGCTTGACAACTCGGACCGTCGCTTTCAGTTCAAGTTTTAAAGTGCAAAACTTCGTAGAGTCTTTGGGTTAAAAAAAAAAAATAAAAAAAATAAAAGCGTCAATTCCCACATGGAGCTGGTGAAGAAACAGCCAGAACCCGCAGGGGTGATCGACAACTGTGAGAGTGTCACAGACATTCATACAAAAGCAAGATCTCTGCTACCTCTCTGATTTAACACTGTCAGCAGCTGCTGCAAATCCCCTCCCCTCGCCCAGGCAGGTGACGTGTTGTTCAAGAATCAGCGGATTAGTAACACTTGTGCTTGGAACTGCATTTGCATCTGCAGACCTTTGTCTAGAGGATCAGCACAGAGGGACTTTGGTGGTGCACAGTCTGTTTTCAGAGAGCAACAGGCACTGCTGAAGGTTCTCCCATGGTATTATTGCCACGTAATCCTGTAGATGCTCTCCACGCCTTCCAATAACACATGTAAACGGTAACGGCCGGGAATAAATATGGCCAAGAGCATCTCGTGGTTCAGATAAAAAGCAAGGTATAAAAAAAATCTGCATCAGGTTTCTATAGCTTTGGTCTAAATTGTGCTGTAACATCACCTGACCTGGCGAAGAGCCCTTAGAAGAGCCCCCTGTGTACAGCACCTGCAACAGCACGATCCAGCCCAGAGACTTTTTTAGTGGTTATTCTCCAGCCAGCTCTTCGATCCACTTGACCTCAAAACATGAACAGATCATCCTTCTCGCCCGTGGTGGAATCTATCTTGTTCCAGTCTACAGGGGAGAGCGTCTCTGCACTCTGGATGTCCTGAGCTGTCAGCCCCGTGTCCAGGACCTGAGGGTTTGTCCTCGACTGAGCCAACCTAAAGAGGAGGAGGGGGGTAGAGAAAAACACAAAATAAGAACCCAAATCCTGGTGGTTTATAGCCCTGATGCATTCATAACACTGCAGCTCCGCATTTCAACACCCTCCAAAGGAATTAAGTGGTTCAGGAAGGGGGGAGCTGGCACAGAACATCTGCGAGTCCCTGGTCGTTTGTCCCGGCGTTTCCCCTGCAGGCATCCAGGGAATTTGCAGCCTGGACATCCCATATCTTAACGGCCTGGCTGTTTTCCTCCCCGGAGCTACGGCTGGGATCTGATCTCTGCTGCCCAAAGGAGCAGCCTCGGGGCAGTGACTCAGTCTCGTGGTGCTGTGTCTGGACAGGCAGCGTGTGCTGCAGCTCTGCCCGAGCATTAACTCCTCGGGTTAAGACACAGAGGACTCAGCTGATGTTTAATAGCTCCCAGGATCAGCTTTTAGGAGCTTTTCATCCCAGATGTTTCACAAAACCTAACGAGCCCCAGTTTGTTGCTGTGTTATTAAACACCTCTGTGAAAAATGCAGCGGTGCAGCATCGACTCTCCCCGGGCTGAAGGTTAACTCAAATATTTGGTGCTTCATCCAGGGGAGGCACCAGCGTCAAAAAAAGCCTTTTTAATAAAGAAGAAAAATGTCCAGTGATGATGATGATGATGATGATGTGGCAGGAATGCTTCTGGAAGCACCCGCCTTGGGAGGACGAGCAGCCCAAACACTGAGTCACTACCACAAGGCCGAGGGTGATGTGACAGCTCAGCATCCAGCAGCCCAAAAAACAAAGCCCACAACCAGCAACATCTCTGCTTCATTAAGTAGGGCAAGGAGCAGGGGGTAAGGAAAACAGCCAACACCGGGGACGTAAATTGAAGCAGCCCCTTTTATCAGCCACATCTTGGGACAAGGCTGCTGTGGAAGTGGAAGCTGTAAATCATCCCCGAGAGCCAAACAAGACCCTGAGGGCTGTTTCCTTAGGGCTGAGCAGGCAGTTTTGCAGGGCTGCCAACCCTGGCACAGGCAAACAGCTCTCGGGGAAGGGACAGTGTTGGGTCAGCCCTGCTCCTCCTGCCCAGCTCCCTCCTCCAGCACCTCCCAGCCAGAGGAGGAGGAGGATGAGGAGGATGAGGAGGAGACCTGGCAGCTCCCTGCTGCCTCTGGCATCTGCACCCAAGGCAGCTTTGCCCAAGCTGGGGCCTCCACACCTCATGGTGGCCTGGTGGCTTCACACACTGACCCGGGGGATGAGACCCTCATAAACCACACCATTCCCACCGCCCCACAGGGTGGTCCCCACACCAGAACAAGCAGGAAAACCCACGTGAAAGGAAATGGGTTTGTTTAACATAGCTGGATTGTTCAGCACACACGTGCAGGGAAGCTTTTAATTTGGATTAGAAAGAGAACTAAACCCCTTGAATCGATGGCCACACGCTCTGAGTCTCTGAGCAGAGGAAGAGTAAAGCCCCCAGTGCCACAGCTGGGACCAGCATCAACAGGCAGCCTGAGAAAGCCTTGGCAAGTGGGAGCAGACACACCAACTGCTCGGGGAATTAAATTCCCTATCACACACAGCCTCTCTCCACCCTTAAAAGGTTGTCAAAATATTTGGCTTATCAGCCAACCTCAAAGCCCATCTTTCAATTACCAGCTGAGGCACTGATGGGGCAGCTGCCTAGGTCAGATCATGGCACTGATCAGATGAGGAGCATTATTAAAGGCCCAGTCAAGTCTCTGGGGCTGGTCCCCAGTGGTGGAGTGAACTCATAAAGGGAGTTGTGAGAATTACCTTGAAAATGCCTCGTCGAGACCATCATCCATTTCCTTTGTTGAAGAGATAAAAAGAGAGACAAGTAATTGCTAAGAGAACACACAAAAGTGTTATTTAGAGGTCTGGCTCTGCACTTGAGCAGGGCAGACAAAAAAATGTATGTATATATTGGCTTCTGAGTGCCCAAATCAACCCCCCCTCTGCAATCTGCCTCCTAGGGCAGGTTTTATCTCTCTCTTTCTCCCTCTCTGCACAAGTCCCAAGGTGAGAGGTGTAACTCTGGGTGGCCCAGGCTTCCCCAAGGCAGATCCCAGACATCCCTGGAGCTTGTCTGGATCTGGAAAGGGGAAAGCAGCGCTGCACCAGCACAGGGTGGGCCTTGAAAGCAGCCCTGGGACCTTTTATCTCTGATCTGCTCCTAAGGTGTTCCAGGGAAAGCACTGGAGTTGCTTGAGGGACAAATGCAGGACCAGGGGCTCTGTGGGAGGGTTTTTCTACAGACAGGCTGGACTGCTCCCAAAATCCTGTGATGCACTTACAGACTTAATGCAATTAATAAGTAAAGTATGAAAACTCTGTAAGCAGGGAAGGATTGGAGATTGCTGATAAGCCTCCAGGATTTGATTTAAGCTTCGAGCTGATCTTCAGGTTTAACCTGGAAAGCCTCAGGCTCAGGCCCGCCAGGCTCAAGAAACAGGCCCCAGGCAAAGGCATTTATTTATCCTTCAATTCTCCAAAATTCAGCAGACCAGGGGTTTCCAGAGAGGGCACAGGTTGGTGACCACAGAATGGTTTGGGTTGGAAGGGACCTTAAAGACCATCTTGTCCCAACACCTTCCACCAGCCCAGGTTGCTCCAAGCCCTGTCCAACCTGTCCTTGGACACTTCCAGGGATGGGGCAGCCCCAGCTTTTCTGGGCAAACCTGTGCCAGGGCCTCCCCACCCTCACAGGGAAGAATTTATGCCTAATATCCAACCCAAACCTGCCCTCTTCCAGTGTGAAAAGGATGCTGGAGCACTTGGGCAGGGAGGAGGAGGAGGCTCCCTGGGGGATGCACACCCAGCACATGGGGCTGCATCACTATTTTTCTATTAGTGGTCCATGACACAATTAAGCCAGATGACTGAGGATGTTTCCAGAAGCCATCCATGCTCCCAACAGCCAGATACAGCCACAAACAAGAGCGAGGGAAAAATAAGAGTAACAATGAACATAAATATAACCTGGTTTTAGTGAGCAGTAAACAAAAGCCATCAACATAATGATTTTTTCCCCTGAACAGAGCAGTTAGGTGGTCTCCCAATTAAGTGACAAACCACTGAGAAATACTGCTCCAGAATAAGAAATATTCAGTTACCTGACAGCAGCGTTTTTCCCAGCACCTCACAATCCTGTTCATTTATTTACCCAGCCCAAAAAGGGCAGCAGGTACTCGAACACCAATCGATCATTTCAAGTAGGACACCCGAGCCCCAGCTCGCTTGGGCACCTCTGAAACCCTCCCTGAGCAGCTTGGCAACCCCACAGCTCCCAGGGGGAAGGAGTTATCCAAGGAAAAGCCCTGTGGTGGGACCTGGAGCACACCCATGGAGGTGGCACCGCACCCCCAGCTCGCACTTACCCACACCACGTTGTTGTTTACGGAGGAGCTGGGCCCAAACACGCTGTTATCCAAGTGTGGGGGGTCTGTGCTGCTGCTCAGGGGTGACTTGGCAGGATCCTCAAAATCCAGCAAGTTCCCCGTGGCTGCTGCTGTGGACAGAGCAGAGGAGGAATGAGGGGAGGGGAAAAGATACACACAACCAAACCTTTTTGCAGTAGTAGCTTCCCTGCAAGAGTGGAATCAAAGGGTTGCATCACATTGCTTCAGGATGGCCCCGAATTCGAGCATGGAGGAGCTGCATTCACCCCAGTGGGGGCTGTGATTTATCCACGATTTATCCAGATCAGGCACCTGAGAACCTCTCAAGAGGGATTCAGGGGAGGACCAGCTTCATCCCTCCAGCAGCCAGTGGGAAGGCTCCTGGGTGCCCACTTATGCTCAGGACGAGTCAGGATCAGCCCTGGGACATCCCAGCCCAGGATGGGAACAGGTCCTCAGCTCAGCCCATGGCATCAATTCAGCATCTTACAAACCTGCACCAGTATTTATAGAGCAAATCCTGCACTGGGCAAAGATCAGTTCAGAGAATCCTCAAATCCTCCCCATCAGCCTGCACTGGAGGGGAGATGCAGAAGTGCCCCCCAGCTCCAGAGCATCCCCCAGGCAGACACTGGAACCCACTCCCACACCCATGGCAGCCCCCAGGGCCACACTTGTTCCAATGTGCCACCGTTTGTGACAGATTCCTCCAGTCCTGAGCCTTCACAGGAAGAAACAAGATGTGCCAGCCTGGAAGGAAGCCCAGTTTAATGCTATTTTCCTGTGTGCCAAATCCTCTTATCTCCGTGGCCAGCATGGAAGAGAGATTAGCCTTTTGTCCCACTTCTCCCTGTCTTTCGTCTCGGAGGCAGCAGAGGACCCGTGGCCAGGCACTGAATTATGAGGGGATTTACTATTTAATTGTTTTATTTCACACACCTCTCCTTCCTCGGGGGAGCTGGAGGCACAGGGGCTCCTGGACATCCCCCTCCCTCAGCCCGTGGGATGGAGTGTGCTTTGGGTTTGAGACAGAATCGGGCTCAGGATGGGGAGATCCACACTAAGCTCTTAAGGACATTATGGCCAATTTGCCTGGGGCAGAAGTAAACAGATTTGGGGTGGCAGCAGCTGTGCATGAGGGGCTGCAGGAGGTATTTAAGGGGGAGAAGGAGTGGCTCAGCCAAGAACTCTGAGAGGGCAATAATCTCTGCTAGGACAGAAGTGCAGCTCCTTGGTGGTCTTCAGAGCCTCCCCAGGAGCTCTCCCTGTCCAGGGAAAATCCCCCAGCCCTCTCCCATCCCCGAGTCTGGAGCAAAGCTCTGCTGGGGGTGACTTACGTGTGTCAGGGTGGGCAGGGGCTTCTGAGCTGGGGCTGCTCGTCCCTTCTCCTTCCAAGATGGACCTTTCCCGCTTTTCCTTCTCTGAAAAAGAAGGAAACCCCATCACTGCCCACAGAGTGCTCCCCCACAAGCTTTTAAGGAGGAGGAGGACGTGGGACAGCTCAGACGGGCCACCTCTGCAGCAGCCCAGGCTCTGGGTGCGTTTCACAATCTCCTGGAAGGTGAAAGCAAAGATCCTGAGAGTGGTAGCAGAAACCCCGACAGCAGCAGGTCTCTGAGGCATCACAGCCCAGCACCAGGTCCTCCAGCATGAAAGGAGCCCAGCCAAAACCTGGCTGGATTTACAAGGCTGTCGAGAGAAACCTGGACGATGCCTCGCGCCAGCCTTGGGAAGCAGCCTGGAAATTCGGAGGGGCAAGGGGAAAAGGCACTTGAGAGCTGGAAAAAGCCCAAAGTCATCCCTTGAAAGTGAAGAGTGGGAAGAGGGGAATAAAACTCACCTTCCTTAGCTGCTTGCCAGAGCTCAAAGGCGATTTTGAAGGCCTGTGCCACGGTGAGGGTGACGGCCTGTGCCTGCAAGGAGAACGGTGAGGCAGGATGTTAATCCCTACGTAGATTTAAATCACTTGGGAGGTTTTGCTTTCCAGACTCATGTTAAACCTGGATCCAACCAGTCCTCTGCTCCCACCTGGCTGGGGAGGGGAATCAAATACTGATGGAAGCAGAGCCTTACTCTGTGTAGGACACACAGCTTGTTGTAGATGCGTCCTCAGGTGTAATGGGGAGAGGCAGGAGGCAGGAACACGGCTGTCACAGCCAGTGTGGTGATGGATGGGGAGACAGGAGCTGCTCCTGAGGGCAGGGAATGCACAGCTCCTCCTGCACCCCACACCTCAGCAGGAGCTGCACGGACCTGGGCTCGTCCTCACAGCTCCCTGAGGGATGTGGCTCCCCCCCAGTGCGGAGCATCACCCATGAGGACAACACCAGCTCACAGGGATCAGTGCCTGGGATGAGCCCTGGACCACAGCTGGCCACACAGGGCTGGGAGGGACAAGCAGAGCTGCATCCATCCTGTCCTGGCACGACTGTGCACCAGGATGCCCTGAGAGCAACAGGAATTCGCTGCTCTCTCCACCTGGGAGCAACTTTAGAGGCTCTTCCCTTGGCTGGGGTCTCACTGGCTTAGACCACCAGCACGGGTTTGTCCTGCTCCAGCCCTGGCCCGAGGCAGGAGCAGGGAAACCATCCCTGTGAGCCCCTCCCCGAGCCTGAGCAGCACTAAAACCACCCACCACCACCACCACCTTCAACAGCACGAGCTGCTGGAGATGTATAAACAGTGACATAAATGCCAGTTTCATTAGGAGCAGGCACAGCTCAGGAGCAGCTTAAGCACCGGGAGATAACGAGGAACACTCGGCACGGCTGGCGCTGCGGGAGCCTCCAGGCCCGAGTTTGTTTTACCGAGTTGCAAACCAAACGAGCCCAGATCCAGGTCAGGAACCTGCAGCCCTGGCAGCTCGGAGGATGGAGACGTGGAGGGGCACAAATGGGGCACAGCATCCTGCGCAGGAGGGGCGAGGAGACCCCCAAACTCATCAGTGCCAATTAAGCCTGGAAAGCAGGAGAGCTCATTTGAATGTCGGAGCTATTTACATCTCTGATGGAAGTGCAAATGCTTTATGGCAAAAAAAACCCCTTAAATATGGTAATTAAGTATGAAACTCCTCACAGCTGTTTACAATTTAAGCTGTCACATCTGAATCAAGTTTAATAGACCCAGCTACCGTTGAGAATTACCCATGAACTAAAAATATGGACTAATTATATGCCCGTGACTGGTAGCTGTGGTACATGCAGGGACCCTGCCCTGGGGAGGGATGGTTCCCAGTCTGGGAGCAGGGATCACCTTACCAGCAGGATGTTTATGCATTTTATAGACTAGGAAGCAAAAAAAAAAAAAAAAATTATTTCCTAGTTTTTGCCACAAAAGGCCTTGGAGAACTTTATTTGGAGGGAGACGCGCTGAGCTGATGTACCACTGAGATAATTCTTTTAGCACTAGAAAGATTTAAATTTTAATTTGCAGAGCGAGGCTTATCTTTGCCGTGCAAGGATGGGAGCACACGCCGTGGAACGGAGAGACAACTTGTAGCTTCCATTATTCTCTCCATGGAAAAAAAAAAAAAAAGTTGGGAGAAGCACAGAATATTAACAAGAGTGAGGTGGCTGCACTCCAGGCACAGGAATGCTCCTGAGAACCCAGGAATCACCACGCTGGGACGCAGCGGGTGGGAACGGCTCTCAGCGGATTTGTTTCCCTGTAGGTTTGGGAGATCCCATTCTCCACGTGGGCCCTGCAAGAGGCACTAGGGGAAGGATTTATGGGGGCAGCGGGGTCGGGCCTGCCTTTCCTCTGCCCTAAAGCCCCTTCCTGTCACAGGGAGGGGGCTCAACTGGCTCCAGGAGAGACCTCAAGGACTCTCCTTGCCCCCCTTGCAGCCGGTGCCCACTGACCCGCTTCCCTCCCTCACCAGCTCTGGGTCCCTGCCCGTCCTGGTGCACTGAATCAGCAGGAAAAAATCCCACAAGTAGGTCCAAAGCAAGAGCCAGAGACTCGTTTCTACACACAGGTCTCTGCTCTGAGCCCCATCCCTGGCACACGTGGGGTGATCCCACGGGAAGGACACGGCCCCGGCTACAAAGACGCCGCTAAAAACTGGACACAGAACTTGGATGGCGAGAAATGGAAGGGAGCCAGGGAGGGTAGTGAGCCCAGAACAGCTGGGCTGAAAGCCTCCCCTGGGCACCTCGGTGGGAGCCTCCCTGGAGACCCCCCTGTCTGCCAAAGCCTCTCCACACGCCGGGCTCAGACCGGCTCCTGCAGCCCAGGGAAGTGGAAGCGGAGCAGGGAAGAGCCCCAGCAGCTGGGAATGCAGCATGGAAGGGGATTTTCCAGGTGTTGGTGCAGGGTCAGGTCCTCTCACTCCCACCCCAGAGGGCAGAGAGGTTTTTAGGTGCCGAGACAACGGGCTGAATCCAGCCTGGAGTTGATGGATTAACGGCAGCAGGAGGGTGGGAGCTCTCCCATGGCCGTTCCCCCCTCGCTCTCAGTGGGGGCAGAGCTGTTATCTCACCACTTCAGCCCCTCTCTGCTTCCTCCTCCTACATCCCCACTTCTTCCTCTGGACTGACCATTTTCCGTTTGGTACAGAGGAAGGCATGGCACTCCAGGTTCTCATTGAGCTGGTTCTGGGCAATGTAGGCAAACACTTTATCGTGGATCTTGTCTGCCGTGCAGTAGGATATCCTGAAAGACAGAACGAAACGTGTCTGGGGCACTGAGCACCAGGCAGAGCCACCAAACCCCTCCTGGGAGCTGCCAGCAGGCCCCTGCCCCGGGGCTTTCCAGCTCCAGGGCCGAGCAGGGAAGGCAGAGGGAGCTCAGGAATGTTGCCAGACCTCAGCGCAGCTCCTTCCCAAAGCGGAGGAGTCGATGCCACAGGGCTGAGAGTTAAGAGAAGCCCCAGAGCCACTCCTGCAGCCACGGCGTGACCCACGTGCACCACACGGGGAGGCAGGAGAGAAGAGAAGAGACAGTGATTCACCTTGTGGGGAAGGACAGGTTAGAGAAGGTAAAGATTCCAGCAGGCCATCCTGGGACTGCACCTGACAAAGGCTCTGCCTTCAGAAGAGAGGCTGGCTCAGAAGGTTTTCCCCGGAGGAGAAGCTTGCAAGGAGAGAGGGGGGGTTGCTCTCAGCCTATGATTTAATCTGGAGGCTCAAACCAGAGGGAAGGAACTGATGGGGGAGTGTCCAAGAAAAGCTGTTGGAAAGGTTGAAATTCAGGCTGGGGGATCTGCAGTAGCAGATGCACGGGATGCTCTGAGCACACTGGGTGTGGGGAGGGACGCTCAGCCTCCTCAGTGGAGCACCCTCAGGATGGCAGAGTCTCTCCCAGCCCCTGGGCAGGTCCAGGCTGACTCTGAAATGCCAAACAAAGCCCTGGAAGAACAACAGGATGGGGAGACCAGGCTGTGATTGAGGGCTCAGCTCCCTTCTGCAGGGCAGCAGGTCCCTCAGCATCAACCTCCACCACCTCCCATGGCCTGTCCCTGCAAGGAGCTGCAGGACTGAGTGTCTCATCAAGCACAGGCTGGAGCAGTCCCACAGGTTTAGTGTGAGGTGGCAGCCAGCAAAGCCTCTTCCCTGGGCACACAGCAGATCAAACAGGTGTTAAGGAATGAGAAAACCCGAGGAAAAAGTGCGATGTTTCAGTGAAAAGTTCTCCCATGGCCCCATTTTGCCCCCTCAGCTCCTGCTCTTGCTGCCCCTGAGAGTTTGCAGGGAGGGGACTGGAAGGTCCCAGTTCCCAGCAGATGCTGGGACTTTAAAAAAGCCACATTCAAAATTTATTTACACTGCATTAGTTTCTTACATGCGAGGACGCCTCTGCTCAATGGCCTACATTTTGTTTTCCAGAGCTGAGCTGTGCTCTGGTCTTACCAAAGAGGCGCTTGGAAGTTCACTCTTTTCTCCTGTTTCTCACAAAACTGCACAGTCACTCCTTTAACAACCATGACAAAGCCAAGGCAAGTCATCTGAGCTGGCACGTGGCCCTTCCAGCACCCCCTGGCTCAATGTTGGATGGTCATTAATTTCCAGGGACAGGATAACTCACACCTGCCCCTGAAATGAGCCAGTTTTAGCCTCTGGCAGCAGCACATCCAGTGGCAGTGGCTGCGTTTTAGCCACGGCCACCCCATCCTGCCCCAGCTCATGATCCAGGGAGGAGCTCAGAGCCATCCCAGTGGATAGAGAAGCCAAGGAGAAGACAGCAGAGGTGTCAGAGGAAAGCCCTGGGCCTGCCACTGGTGGGACACACTCCCTGAGTGGGTAGAAGACCCCTTCATTCACACAGATCCCACCTGTCACCAGGACCCCACAGCACCAGCGTCTCCAGGGAGCAGTGACAGTCCCCAAAACAGCCTGTCTGGGATGGGCTGGCTTCAGTCAATGAATCAGGGGCTGCTCACACTCTGGTGCCGACAGGAACAGCTTTATCGACAGCTGTTAAAGTGTCAGGGGAGAATTTAGGAAGCATCTACAATCCCTGATCCCACAGCTCTGCCTGCTCTTCCCCCGGCGCGGGGATCCCCATTTTGGCACGGCTGCTTTGCCCAGCTCTGCTTTAGCAGCAGGTTTGTGTCCTGGGGAGGGCTGGGCTCTGCAGCCCTGGCTGTGTGTGACTGCTGGGCTGTGGAACTGGAGAAGAGCAGGTGGGTTAGTGGTGTGGTCAGAGAGAGCCCCGAGCCCCTGCTCCCCCTCCCAGGTCTAGCACAGAGCAGCAGGTGAAGGACAGAAGCAGAGTGGGAGGGGAGATGCAGAGGGAAAAGGGATGAAGGAGATGGAAAAGGCCAGATCCAAGCTGAGCTCTGCTCCACCAGGCCTGTGCCCACCTCCTGCCACTCTGGAAGAAAATGCTTTCAAAAGAATTATCTCCCAAAAGCCAGAGGAGGGGGTATGGGATAACCCACCCTTGCCCTCCCCACCCCAGTACCGTGTCCCAGCAGCTGTCCCAGCCCTGCTCCCTGTCAGAGCCTTTTAAACACAACAGAGACACGGAGCAGGCAGTGAGGGGATGCAGCCCCAGCTCAGGGGTACTCTCACCACCCTCTGTGTTCCTCCTTTGCCCTCACCCCACATGCTTTGGCATTTCTGCTGCCACAAACAGGCAGCAAAGCCACACGTGGCCACGCAGTGCTCGGCTGTGGACCTGCAGTTTTTCTGCACACACCCCACACCTCCAGGCTCGTCACGTCTTTCCTCACCCCCACAGCTGGACACATCGCACCCCACGGAAATTTACTTTAAATTTATCACCCACCCTCCTTCCCCCAGCTTTGCCTTCCACCCAGATGTGGTGGACAGTGAGGCAGCAGCTCAGACCGGGTGGGGACGGAGCAGAGGAGCAGCTCTGGCACAAACCCCCACGGAGGGAACCCCAAAACCCACCTGTATATGGAGACGTTCTCGATCAGCTCGTTCGTGCTGCTGTCGTTCAACACGATCCCCCGGGGAGACACTTTCAGAGTCACTTTCTGCAGCTTCTTTCCACTTGCTTTCGCCTTTGGAAGGGAAAAGAGGGAGGGGAAAGTTCCAGGCTTTTAAGGCTGATGCCTCCAAAGGCACGTGAGCAGAGACTCCAGAGACTTGCACTAATATCACTCGTTACCCCTAGAGACTGATTTTTACTACCAGGTGTGATGAAGCACTTGTTAAAACTTTTCCTGCCCTGAAGCCACGATTTTCACTGGCACCAACGAGACAAGGGCACATACGACCCACTCCATGCTGTGCTCAGGCACTTCCAGCCCTGCACCTCCACAGGGATTTCCCCGTGGCCACCGGCACGAACCGGCGGCTGCTCTGGCCGAGCTGTGTGAGCTCCTGGTGAAACCCTGGGGAGTTTTGCCTTTAGGGCCAGTTCTAGAGCAGAGGGGACACCAGCACGAGCGAGGGAGCTGTGCTGGGAGCAGGGTGGTCCTGCACAAAGTGGGCTCCCAAGGAGCTGGCTCCAAGCTGTGCTCCCGTGGCAAGGCATCCCCCGTGCAAGGTCACGATGTCAGCTTAAAAAGTAACTCAACTTTCATGTGCCACTTTCTCTTATTTACTGTTTTCATGCTTTCAGCCTTCAGATAACACTCAGACACTGCCCAGCCTGCC